AGCACTCTTGTACTTCCCTCATAATGCGAACTGATAAATCTTTTTCAGAGGATGGGATTGCTTCTTTCATCCTTCAGATACACATTTCTCCTTTCTAAGGGAGTCCAAAGAAAAGAACTGTCCTTTAGCAACCAAGTGGGCTGTTGGTCTCCATGGACTCCCATGTGCATGCAATTAGCTAATGCATTAGGGGAACAGGTGGACTAGGGCTTCCAGAAACTTTGCTTGATCACAGAGTACTTTTAAGATTTGATTGAATTAAGTATTTGGTCCACTCCAATGAGCCAAGTCCTCATAATTCCTTCATCTTAAGCAATTATATTACGTGTTGTTATACTTCTCCCACCCAATCCCCCCAAAAAAGAGCATTTTAAATAAGACACAGAGAACAGGATTCCTAACTTGGCTAGGCAACTCTAAATTGCTATGAAATTCCATTGGAAGTAGCATCACCAGTGAGGGATCCTGGATGTATTCAATTATCTCCATACTTGGTCATTTAGGTTAGAAAATTCCATCTTGTCTGCCAGGTTTTTTAGCGCACATTTCATTATTCATTCAACACCTACTTATTGAGAAAGAATATTATACTACACAGTGTGCTAGGGGCTAGAGAAACCACAGTAGGACAGAGTCCCTCTATCTAAACGATTTACAATCAAATAAATGAGATGGACACGGTGGCACACACATGTAATCTCAGTGCTCAGGAGGCTGAGAAAGGAATATCACGAGCTTGAGGCCAGCCTGGGCTACAGAACACATTCCAGGCCAGCTTGAGTTCAAAAAGCCAAACAAGGGGCTGTGACACTCAAGTGGTAGAGTGTCTGCCTAGCAAGCACAAGGCTGAGTTCCACCCCCAGTACCTCAAAAAAAAAAAAAAAAAAGCCAACTAGACACAAATAGGCAATTCACTACAATACAGACACTCATGCCATTTGAAGTTTCCACTTATAATGTTTCCACTTTGCAATAATTCAAAAGCAATATGCATTCAGTGAAACTGTATTTGAATTTTGAATTTTCATCTTTTTGGGGGTTAGGGATATGTTCTATGATGCTCTTTTACAATGCTGGGCAGGTCCCAATCGGCTACACACTCACAAGAGGGAGATAACTGCGTCACTAAACTGTAGGTTAGTAGGATAGGTGTATTTAGTGCATTTTCAACCTACAATATTTTCAACTTACCATGCATCTATAGGGACCTAATGCCTTCATATGTAAAGGAACATCTGTGTAATGTGACATGGTTTTAGACACACCTAGCAGAATCATACAGAAGATGCCTCTATATGAAACACTTCTCAGGAGAATTTGGCTTAGTGAAACAATGTTTTATATACTAAGAATGAGATGGAGGAGAGAGCAAGAGGGCAAGGTGTAGGACAATGTTCCAGGCAGAACATGGTAGCATATGCTTTGGGAGTACTAGTATTATTGTCACACCTGATGCTCCAAAACATTTCCCTGGATAAACAAGGAGAATGCACTGCAAAAGATGTCAATCTACCCATGTTCACATGAGAGCGTTTATTTGTACAATAAAGGGTGAACAGAGATAGGTGACTCCACACATTCTGCCAAATATCACATCTCAAATTTTATAATAACTTCTAGTATAAATATGAGACTTCTTTTTTTTTTCAGACAGTATCTTACTATATAACCTAGGCTGGCCTTGAATTCTTTGTCCTTCTACCTCTGCGTTCAAAAATATAGGCATGGGCCAAGCCTAGCTTAAATATTACAATTATTGCCGGGCTCCAGTGACTCACACCTATAATCCTAGCTACTCAGGAGGCAACGATCAGGAGGATCGCAGTTTGAAGCCAGTCTAGGCAAATAGTTCGTGAGACCCTATCTTAAAAAAACCCATCACAGGAATGGGCTAGTGGAGTGGCTCAAGGTGAAGGCCCTGAGAAGGAGGGAGGGAGGAACAGAGGGAGGGAGAGGCAAAAGAAGGAAGGAAGGAAAGAAGGGACATTTGCATAAACTGCAAATTGTGTACAACTGTTCTAGCACACCTCTGAAATTAGGAAACAGCAGCAGATAGAAACCTATGGCAGGCTCTGAGTCACTGACAGGTGTAGTTACTCCAAGGAGTCTGGGAGTCAGGAGTGATGTTATAAGGTCCACTGCTAGAATGAATTAATCTTAGAGCGTGTGTGTGTGTGTGTGTGTGTGTGTGTGTGTGTGTATACCACAAGTTTTCAAGCATAAGTAGATAACATTAACAATAGAATTCACAGTATTTAACACTTTCTTTTTGAGTCTTTCTCAATTGACAGATGATAAAAATTACAACTCTCAAGAATCTATATTTTTTTTTTATGTTAAAATGCATGCTCAAAAGAGGCTGGGAAAGAGCACAGGTCTCAGGAGCGTGACAAAACAAGACTTACACCGTGGGTCCTTTATTCGAGTGGGTGGATGTGACCATGCTGTTAAGCTCTCAAAGCCTCAGTCTGCACATCCAGAGTGACAATGACAATAATTCCAAGGAGCTCTCCATCAGGGAACATTAAGTTAACTCAGCCTTTGAGCTAATCATCTCTTCCTCAATCCTCACCTAACGCCCAAAAGGCAGAACAGTGGGACTTAACAGACATTTTGCCCCTAAGAGGACCATTGAATAATTAAAGGCTAATTTACTAGCATTTATTTACTAGGCCACTGGCCAGCCCTGACATTTCCTCTTGTCCACAGAAACCTTTAAAAAAATAAAAAATTCTTTAAAAAGTTTAAAAAGTTCAATACTCTTTCTTTTATTTTTTTGAATAGTAACATGAAAGATCTTTATCCTTAAAATAATGTGTAATTCATTCTTAGAAAGTGTCACGGAGGAAATGGTGTATTAAGTTTTATCTGCACTTGAATTGAAAATTATTTTTGAAATATGTTCTCCATGGTTTAGTTGAAATGGCAGTTAAGTACAATTCAAGATGATCATGTACTATTTCTTCATAAGATTCCCAATTCCTTCCATGAAATAAATCTAACTTACCTGAAACAACATTATTAATGGAATATTGGAAATTGGTATGCATATTAAATCAAGATAGAGCAGGATTACTTTAATTTTAATGCCTGATTCCACGTGTCAAGATGGGAAATAGATAATAAATATGGGTTTCTAATGTAGGCAATAAAAACACATATATTTATTTTCAAAAGCAAAAAAACCTCTGCCCTCAAATACAATCAATAAAGGGATTATCTACTGTGTTATTTTAAAATAACTTTTTATGCTGTACTCTGGAACAGGATTTTGAGAAGACAAAGCAATCACGCAGTTTTACCAGTTGTCTTTCTTTTTTCACTGGCAGTTCTACATTAGCTACACAAATCCTGGATATTTAAACCAAGGATAAAAGAAAAACACTTTTTCTTAATGCAACTACATATAAGAGTGAATATTTCTTACTTTAAGAGCAATCATGGTATTTGATGTTATCTTTATTAGTTAATTATTCATCCCAACACCCCGCCCTTGCTCTTAGAAGCATTCATATCTTCTTCACCTCTGGCTATGTTCAACAATTGCTGATAACTAATCTTAACTGCAGTATGTAGCCAATTTGAGAGATTAAGTTCATCGTTTACCGCTCTCTCCACAGATATATAAACCAAAAGGAAAAGAACTAAAGGGTCTTACTGAAAATCAGAAAGCTCATTTGTTAAATCCCACTGAGGTATTCCTGTTCATATATTCCCAACAGACAACTCTCTTGGTATTTACCTGAATTCATGGAAATGTTTTCAGTGGGCAACAGACCATATTTTATTTGTTAAATTATCCAAGAAAACATTAGTAATACACTAATATTTAATCAAATATCCCCTAATTTCATTTTATCCATAATTACCAAAATTATGGTACTCTCATAAGTTGAAAAATAATGTAATTTTATTCTCTCCCAAAAAGTACATTGAAGTTTCGTGATTCACTGTTATATTTCTAATAATATTCAAACAATATTATATCAATCTTGGGACTTGGGTATATTGTGTATATGAGAACCTGATAACCATTTTAAAGCTTTTTTGGGAGGTAGAATGCAACACAACTCCTAAGTGTTTTAAAGGTTCACATTAATACCAAGCTTTTAAAAAGTACTCATAGAAGGCTTCTTTGCAGTTCATATGTTCACAAATGTTTCCATTAGCTAAGAGATATTTTGGAATGTGGTCAAATGATATCGAATGTCAAGTCCTAACAGCAGGGCGGAGCTTAGGAGACCCCTAGGTACCACTATTCTTTTAAACCATTCTTGTCCCTAAAAGGCTAAAAGGAAGACAACCCTAACTTCACAAACGAAGACAGCAAGGTATATGTGAGTAGATACCTTTCACTTTAACTGCCTTCTCAATACAAAATTGGACTTGGACTTAAGGCAAACTGTTGACATTTTATGATTAAAATGTGCATCTCTCACTCTTCCTCCAAAAAGAAGTCATCCACCCCAGTACATGTAACTCTCCAAATTCTTTTCCTACAAGTAAATTTGGAAAACCAAATACCATTCCTTGAAAAAAGAGAAAGGAAACTGTATGGAGAACTGGCAGACTGCATGTTTATGTCAACCTTCAGAAAATATGGAAACACAGCCCCAACTCACCAGGAAAAGCACCGCTTGTGATCCAACAATTTTGTGTCATTTTGTCCTTCCGTGTTGCACTTCATACCCAGTACCCAGTTTTGCTGGCTTTTGTCAACCCCAAAACCCTCAAGAACAATCTGCTACTGCAGGGTAACAACTGTAACACGAAGAGTTCTGCTCATTGCTTGCAGCGTGGTTTTAGAAACACGTCTATCAAACATTATTTATTTTCCCTCTGCTATTTAAAACCGGGGGACATCAGACTTGGAATGTAGCTAAATAACTGCAACAAAAATTAAAACAAGCAAACAAAATACCCAAACACGGAACAAGCTAAGAACAAAGGAAACACAAGCGTGTGAACAGGAAATGAAGCAACTCTATACACATAAATACCTTTTGGGGCCTCCAACGTAGGTGAAAGTAAAGGTGGAGTCTGAGTATCTGAAATCTGAAACGGAAAGTCTGGTTAAAAGCTACCCTTGAATGGATGGTTTTAACTCCAATCCTGACTTGAATCTCCTATTTATCCCAGCTCAGGGAGGCCAGGCCGGGAGGGAAGCTAGGGCAGGAAAGCCGCGAGGTCCACGCTCCCCGCCGCGCAGGAGGGGATGCTGCGCACCCCCAGCCGGGTGTAAGCGCGAGGCCGCCCCCCGCAACAAGTGCCGGGTGCCATGGCAACGGCGGGAATTTCCCGGTCTGGCGGCCGGAAGCGGCCCCCGCCGGGCTTCAGACTACGAAAGCAAAATCAGATAGGTCTCTCCCGGGAGCAAAATGGATGTAAGGAGACCCCCAAGCTGGGGCGCTGTGTGCACTGGGAACCCGGGAGTCTCTTCACTTTCTGGGGCAATACCTTGCCAGTCGCAAGGGAACGGAGTGGGGAGCCAAAGGGGCGGGAGATCGGGCCAGTGCTGCCCCTGGAGGGGCCTTGGCGCCGGGCGCAGCGGCCGAGCGCAGCGCAGCGCAGCGGCCCAGCGCAGCGCAGCGCAGCGCAGCGCAGCGCCGCGGGCTCCATTCCCGGCCGCCGCGCTCAGCCAATTGCGCAAACCCGGCGGGTCCAGCCCGCCCCGCTTGGTAGCCGCTGCCGAGCCCGGGAGACAGGCTTGCACACCGGACATCCACCGGAGCTGGAATGCAACGTACAGCCCCTCCGCCTGGACCCCTGTTTGGGCCACCCGGGGTCTGCGCCCGGACCTTGTGGCTTCCCGAGACTCGGGATTGGGGGGTGGGGGAAGAAGAGGACAGGCTGGCGCCCCCTCCACCTTTTGGCTCCGGCTCTCGTTACAGCAGCTGTTGCCAAATGAACCCCAGAATGGGGACGTGCAACCTCCCCTCACCCCCAGCCACATAGGTCGAGGTCAGGAAAACTGGGAAGGGGGACGGCGGGCGGACAGATAGCTCGGGGTCCGGAGCTCCGGGAAGGGCGAGAACTCACCTGCAAACAGACAGTCCTTCTCGGCTCTGGACTTCTGGATCACGATGTCGATATCCTTCTGAATTCGCTCTTGCCTTGAACACATCCCCATTAAATAAATCCCTGGAAAAGAAGCAGCCGCTATTTCCACCCCGCCCCACCCCCCTCGCACGCTTCCTTCCAGCTTTCGTAAATATTCAGTTAAAAATGAAACCTCTGGCCGAGGCAGGGGCTGGAGGCGAAGTGGTTTCGGAAGTGATCCCGGGTGACAGAGGAGGAGGCGGCGGCGGAGGAGGAGGAGGGGGAGGTCGGCTTTGCATTCCCAGATGTGACCGCCCAGCTGCTGCTCGCCCGCCGCTGCTGGATTCCAATTTCCTCCGCTTCTGACAATGGATGGTGATGACACCAAGGCTCACTTTCTCCCTCCCCCCGCCCGGGATAACTAACGGCCGTAGGGGGCCGAGGGGTGCCGAGCACGGCGGGAGGGCGGTCGCCGGCGTGGCAAGGCGAGGCGAGGGGCGAGCCCCGCTCCGGCTCCAGCGCGCACGCCCCTCGAGGCCCCGCACGCTGGCCTCCTGCCGGCCAGCCTGCTTTCCACACCCGCGCACACGCGCGCCCGCGGGCGGCGGCCGAGCCCGGGCTGCTGCAGCGCCGCCCGCCCGCACGCCCGCCGCAGACCCTCCCGCACCCGCCGCCCGCACGCACGCCCGCCCGCCCGCCTGTCACCCGGCGCAGGCTGGATTTCCCCACCCCCGACCTGCACTCGCGCCGGGAGCTGAGTGACAGTGTAGATAGTGAAGACTCCCTGGGTTCTCAGCCTTCCCTTCCCCCTTTCCACCACTTTTATGAATTCGACTTCACTTTCAGAAGGGATTATGAGTCATATGGAAAATCCAAACCGGAGTGGCTGGGAGGAAGGGGCAAAGAAAAAACCAATCATTCAAAATCAAAAAATAAATAAGACGAACAAATCTTTCCCTGTTGTCACACCAGCAAGATGGGAAAAGCCCTTTCCCTCAATGCCTGACTTTTTTTTCCCCCTTCCAGGTGGAAATAGTCCAGCCCCTTCGAAGATCCCTTCAGGAAATGTAGCCCTTTCGGAAGAATTCTTCCTCCACTTCAAAGACTTACACATAGGTCTGTTCATAAAAATTGTCAGAAGCAACTGGACTTCGGAAGGGTCTCCCTAAAAGAAGAATGTCTGCTTGGCTTCTTTTAACAGCCATCCCTTTGCCTGTTAGTCACAGAAAAGCTCCTACAATCTGCTTCCTTTTCAGAAAGGAGATACTGCTGAAATCCTCACTTTCTGTCTGTCCTAAGGACACCTCTGACTGAAGTAGCTGGCCCACCTCTGTTGCCATTTACAAGTATCTGCAAATGAACACTTGCCTTGTGGATATTTTTTTCTACTAAGAAGACCTGTTTTGTTTTGCATTCCAATAGCCCTGTATAGTGCCTGGAATACAGGAGGGAGGCCAAAATGCCAGCTGAATTCATAAAATGGTCATTCCTTGCAGCCTTTCTTCCATCTGCGTTCTTATCAGCTAGCTATAAGTTCCCAAAAGCTGTCAAACTGGCTTTGGTCTTTAAGCAGGTTCTGATTTTGACAATAGCGACATGATGTTCAGTAAGTAAGAAGTACTACTATCCTTGATGGATGCTTTAAGACTCTAGTCAATCAGCGGGGCTCCAGTGGCTCACGCCTGTAATCCTAGCTACTCAGAAAGCAGAAACCAGGAGGATGGCAGTTCGAAGTCAGCCAGGGCAAATAGTTCCAGAGACCCTATCTCAAAAAAAAACCATCACAAAAAAGACCGGTGGAGTGACTCAAGGTTAGGCTCTGAGTTCATGTTCCAGTACCGAAAAAAAAAATTCTAGTGACTCAAAAGCAAGAGAAAAACTGGCCATGGTGGTATACACCTGTAATCCCAGCACTTGGGAGGTAGAGGCAAGGGAATCAAAGAGTTCAAGGCCAGTCTGAGCTATATAGAAAGACCTTGTCTCAAAATAAATAAGGTAGGGGCGGGTGGCCCATGCTGTAATCCTAGCTACTCAGGAGGCAGAGATCAGGAGAGTCAGGGTTGGAAGCCAGCCCTGGCAAATAATTCAGAAGACCCTATCTCAAAAATACCTAACACAAAAAAAGTCCTGGCAGAGTAGCCCAAGTGGTAGAATGCCTGTCTAGCGAGCATGAGGCCCTGAGTTCAAACTCCAGTACCACAAAAAATAAATAAATGTTTAAACCTCAGTACCACCGAAAAATAAATAAATGCAAACAAGTAAGTTTAAAAAGCTAGAGAGACCATAAGTTCTAACCCCTTCATCTTGCAGAAAAGAAAACATAATGAAATGATGTGTGTTGCACAGCTGTACTCATTGGAGTTATAAAAGAACATATCTGCATTCTTTAGGGCCACAGCAGCCACAGTAGTGACTTCTGCTCAGTCTTCCTGGACACTTCCTGATTAGGGCCTGACAGGTTCAAATCCTTCCTGACTATGCTGCTTTGTACAGGCCCCTCAGCCACCAAGAGTACTCTGTTCTTCCAGTCACCCCTGAGTTTCACAAGAACCTCCTTCTTCCATTATGTGCTCTTAGTTAGAAAGCACTACCCTAAGAGGCTTACAATCTATTAGCCCTGGAGAATTGCTCTTATAGGTGTCTAGCCATGAGGCTTGAGGTCTCAAAGTTAAGACAAGTTAACAACATGTAAATTTGAAATAGCAGTTAAGCTCCCAAATGTTTGCTGTCTAGATCATCTCTTAGTTCATTACTCCATAAAATAGGCCTTCTGGTGACTTGTCTTATATCTGATTTGTTTCAACCTCTACAGGCTGCTGTTTTTATTAAACAAAAGTAACCTCACTCTGCTCATGCCCTTAAGGTGTGACGTATCTAAATATTTTTAAATCTTGAGGAAGATAAAAATAAATAAATAAATAAAAACCAACCTTTCTACATATTATACATTTTGGCAAGATAATTTCTTCCACAAAATCTCTACCAAGACATCTGAGTTCTAGACTAAATCCTTATGGAATGACTCAAACCTTGCCTACAGCTAGAGTCCCCTTGTTACCTGCCCCTTCTCAGACTATTATTTAAATGTTTAGATTATTCGTGTTCTAAAGCTCCTTTACTAAGAATTAGAACTGCTTTTGAGATGAGAGGGTTCTATCCCTGTCTTTAATTCACAAACACTCATATGCATTTATCTGTTCGTTAAATAAAAATCAACTAACAAACAGAATGTGGGAGAACTCCCATAATAAATGAAGGATGTGTTGTATGTTGCATCATAAAATGTAGTCAAAAGAGCCTCAACAGCTTAGAAAAGTGGTTCAAAGCCAAGATATATAATTCATTTGAGAAAAAAACATAAATTCCTTATCTATGCTGAAAGACTCCCTGTGGAATAACCAGATAAAGGTCATGTGGCAAAAGTCCAACCAGCGCAATGCAGGTTTAGAAGAGGTATGGGTGCCAGAAAATAAAAACTTTATATATAGAGATGGGGTGTGGTTGAACATGCCTATAATCCCAACACTTGTGAGTCTGAGGCAGCCTGGATTATAACTAAACAGCAGCAAAAAAATGCAAACATTATTAATGGGCTTAGTATTCACAACGACCCTCTGTAGCAGCTGTTTTTATTCTTTCCCTTTTATAAAGCAGGAAGCTGAGGCACAGCCAGGGGTAATTAACTCCTCTAAGGTGGGCCTTGCATAGAAAGAACTTTTTCCTCTCTAAGCCTTTCAGAGTTAAATTGGTCCTGAAGAAAGATAAATGTTCAGAAATCTCACTTCGAAGTAAACCAGACCCACCAATGGCTCTAGGCCAAAAGTGAAACCAGTAAGAGACACTATAATGGATTCTGAGGGAGGCCAAGGGCCATGGGCTCTCCAAATAGCCTCTACTATAGCAGCTATATTCCCTTCCTGTATTGAACTTCCTTTCTCAAATGATCTAGCATTTAGAAAAGTCTTAAGAAAAGTAAGGACCTGTCTTCTGCTCTTCCATGGGAATTAAGAAAAAAGGAGGTGCTAGCAGAGTGGCTCAAGTGGTAGAGCATCTGCCAAGCAAGCATGAGGCCCTGAGTTCAAACCCCAGTCCTGCATAAAAGAAGAGAAAAGGAAGTGAGGCAGGATTAGCAAAGAGAACATTCTCTTTGCTAAATGCAGGATGGTGTCCTAATCAGCAAATGCCTGAAGTGTTACCTGATCATAATCTTGTACTGCCTAGGTGACCTCACTGAATTCCTGCCCTGCCCAAATCTTGTTTAACTTTGAGCACATGATGTCTGTAGGCAAAAGCTCCTCCTGTTTAGGTGGGCTAAGAACCTGGTTGGGATTACGGATGGTTGCCAGGGTGACCCCCAGACAACACTTAGCTTCATTATAATCCCATCTGCAGCCAGTGGCTCACACCTACAATCCTAGCTATTCAAGAAGCAGAGAGCAGGAGGATCCCGGGAAATTAGTTCTCAAGACCCTATCTCAAAAATACCCAACACACACACACAAAAAAAAAAAAAAAAAGAAAGAAAGAAAATACCCAACACAAAAAAAGAGCTTGTTGGAGTGATAGAGTACCTACCTAACAAGAGTGAGTCCCTGAGTTCAAACCCACACAAAAGCCCATCTGTACACTAAATGACAGCCCCTGCCACCAAGTACATGACAGTTGACATGACAATGACCAGATAAACCATAACAAGAACAAAAAGAGGGGGAACTGAATCCCCAGAGAAATCACTGACAATTCTGGGAAAATCCATGAATATCCCCCCCTTCTATTAGCCCACCCCCCTCATTTCTTTTACCCTATGTGTATAACCTTCTGACTCCAACAGGTCAAGACGATGATTTTGCAAGTCTCTTTCCCATTTCTCCTTACCTAGTACTCAGTCTTGCTATTGAGTCCACAATTCCAAGTGGGAAAAAGGACCCAATTGGTAACAAAAGGAAGGGCAGCAGCAGTACTGAGAGTCACTGTGCCACAAGCAGGAAAGGAGCGAGGGTCACAAGACATTCATTTGTTTTTTGTTTTTGTTGTTGTTTCATTTTGTTTGAGGCAGGGTCTTTCTATTTATCCTAGTCTTGACTAAGAGATCTCCCAGCCTCAGTCTCCCAAGTGCTGGGATTGCAACGTGACTCACCACACCCGCTAAAGCCTTTACATCAGGGTGAGGAAGTAAGACTTTTTTACCTGTGAAAAGTGAGAAGCCACTGGAAGGAAGATGATCTCAAAAGTGCTTTTCAATTTCTGTAACTTCTTGGAGTGGTTCTGTAATGAAAAGAAACACATGAAATTCAAAATGCCCTACGAGGCCCAACTGGGCCTCTTGCCAATGTAGAGGACTTGAAAAATTGTTTATAAAGCATTAGTACTTTCACTTTAGAGGAACTAATCCTGCTTTTTAACCTCATCGAGTAGGCTAAGTTAAAGGCTGAGCAAACCAAAGTCAACCTTGAGTAAACGTGACAAAACGGAGGCAAGTTTTGATGGCTTAATATGAAATTTGTCCCAATATGGCTTTTATTAACCTAAGATCAAATGAGGCAGCACAGTGTGGGGTTGAAGTTTTATGGCCCTTTCCAGCATTAAATGTATTTATTTGTCTTTTTTTTTTCTTTTTTTTTGGCAGAAGTAGGGTTTGAACTCAGGGCTCACACTTGCTAGGCAGGCACCCTACCACTAGAGCCACTCCACCAGCCCAGCACTTCAATGAACTCAACTAATACCAGAACTGCAGTGTGAAACCTGGACTCCTTTCTAGTCCCAAGCTTTGCTTTACTTAAACTTCCACTTTTTTCTCGTGAAAACACTAACTTTGCTTTCTACTCTGGAAGCATTCTCAGCTCCAGTTACCATCCCACATAAACAAACTCATTAGCAGCTTACACTCACTTATAATAGTTCTTTGTTTTGAATTCATACTTCTCCTTTCCTTTATTTTTAAAAGTACATAGATATTGCCTGAATATATTCTTGGTACAAATAATTTGAGATAGTAAAATGCAAATATTTCCACCCTGCCCATTATTAACAGTTACTTGGTAATCCTTTCATTCTTGCATATATATCTAATCTATATCATGCATATGCCAGTATACATATGTTCATAGATTGATACATACATGTATATATAACTTTTTGTTATATTGGGTCTGGAACCCAATAGCCTCATGTATGCTAGGCAAGAACTCTATGACTGAGTCACACGCCTAAGCAGCTCTACGAATAACTTTTAATTTAATAGAACTATTGTGGTGATCTGGTCTCAGGTGCGCTGTAGTGGTTGCCAAAAACTCTATCTCGTGCAATCAAAGAATGAAAGTCATGGACCACAGGGTGAGCAAAAGAGCAGAGTTTTATTTAAGCAGAGAGGAAGGGAGTAAAAAACAACTCCTGTATATGTGGGAAGAGTCCCAGAAAGACTGAGCCCTCAAGGCTTTTTTGTCTAGTAGTTTTTTGTGGGGAGGGGAAATTGAACTCAGGGCCTACACCTTAAGTCACTCCACCAGCCCTTTTTGGGGATAGGCTTTTCCGAGATAGGGTCTATTTGCTGGGGCTGCCTTTGAACCATGATCCTCCTGATCTCTGCCTTCTGAGTAGCTAGGAGTATAAGCCTGAGCCACAGGTCCCAGCATTTTAGTGGTTTTTATAGGGATTTTATATCCTAGTTGAAGGGAAGCTGGTTTTGTCTCAGTGCTATTGGTCTGTTCAGGGGATATACATCTGTGCCAGCCCATGGACATTGCAGGGACACTGTGTGTGCCCCTTTCCCTTCCCAATGGCTCTGAGATCTGGCATACCTGCTGAGCATCCTATTAGGGCCAAGTTCATGCATCTCGATAGTTTCAAGGCCTGTGTGAATGGTTTCCAAACTCCCCAGACTCCCCACACCTGTTTATCTCCTCTGTGTCCTTGCTAAGTTTCCAAGTTGCCTTGTCCCTCTTCTGCCTGATGGTCTTTCTGTTTCCTAACTTTCAGTGTCAGAACCACAGTACATGTGGTTCTGCTATGCTTTTTCTACTTGTCTTGAAGAATTTTCTAGATCAGTGCAAAGAAATTCAGTTCATTCTTTCTAGCCAATGCAGAGAACTATATTGAGTGAATGCACCATAATATATTTTAGCCATGCCTCTGGAGCCATGGTGGCTTTTTAACAATGTTTTGTGCTTAAAATAATTTGCAATAAATGCACATCTTTATGCACAGTTTCAGCAGTTTCTTTGGGATAGATTGTTAGAGGTAGCTTAACTGGATCACAGGAAACAGCAATTTCAAACTGTTGGTAGGTATAAGAAAATTGTTCTCAAAATTATATTATTATTTTATACCTCATCACTGTTTTTGAGAATAACCAGTTCTCAGCAACATTCCTAACAACAGGTAGTATCCATCTTTTTTTTCCAAACAGCTGGATGAAAAGTATTCTTGTTTTGATTTTTATGTCCCTGATTATTAGTTGGACATTTTTTCAAGTGTTAATTGGCAATTTGTATAGTCTCTTTGTATACTGCCTGTGATATCCTTTCTCTCTTTCTCTATTGGCTTTTCTGGCTTTGTATTACAGTATTAATTTATAGAAGGTCTTTCTATATTCTAGATGGTAGTCCTCTTCTGTTTTACATGATGCAGAAGTTGTAAATTTTATTTATTGAAAAAATTTTTTTAAAACTTCACACTTCTTCAAAAAACCTTTCCTGACTTCTCCAACTCAGTAATTTTCCCTTTTTCCTGGAGTTGCTGTTTCCAGACTCTAAGTTCCTTAGAGGCAGGACCTGTTCAAGTGCCTTACGATGGACTTGTTCAATATAACACACAGTAGGCCAGTAGATATTTATCGGGTTGATCTAAGATCTTAATTATTGCCTTTTTATTGTTTTTGTTTAAATTCTCGAGACTTACGTTCTACTTGTTGCTTATTCCTTGTTTCCTCTGTCCCTAAATAGCCCTTGAAATAATGCTATGTATCTTGGAGGCACACAGTACAGTACTCATTGATTAATTGATTGATTTCATTTTATACTGATCTTGAACATCTTATGTTTTCTTTAAGAACAGAAGCATTTCCCCAAGAGTGTCTGCAGTGTGAATTTCTTCTGATTTTATTCCCACCATGTAATAATTATAGATGCAGCTATATTCCTTGGTGTCTCTCCTCTGAGCTTGCTCCAGTGATAGCATTTAGTGCACTAAAAGCTTATCTTCCTTCCTTAAGAGCCTCAGAGCTTGAGTAATTTGCTCTGTCCAGCAGTGTTTCACCTACACTTCAGTGAATGTGTGAAACAGAGAGAGCACTCAATAAATACATGGTAAAAGAAAAAAGATCATACCCTTCCACAGTGCAAAATAGAAACACAGACAAGAGGAGTAGAACTCAGATTGTTGGGGATGAAGATTGGAGGTGTCAGAGAGGCTGAGTATGGAAGCAAGAGTAGGAGTAAAGAAAGTGAAGGGCATTCCAGGCAGTGGGAAAGCTTGGAGGCTGTGGTGTGCTGGATTTGGCTTGCACAAACCTGTAAGAACAATTGTGCATTTTTCTTCCAGCTCCTCAGTCAGTGACTTCACGTTAGTAGCTTGAAATCAGCCATAGTGGGAGTATTTACACCACAGATGTTGGAAGCACCACATAGCAGGACTTATGCTTTTTCACCGGGGAGCTATCAAACGTTTTTATGCACAGCATGAAGGCATGAAGGAAAAAGAAATATTTCTGGAGGTGAGGCTGTAATGGTACTCAGAAATAAAATCATGAAGGAACTTAAGTGTTAAGCACAGACATCTGAATTTTGTAGTCACGGAAAGGTTGTGAAAGCGAAAACACATGACACGGCTTGCTCAATGTCTGCTGCCTAGCATCTTCAACAATGGTTTTGCAAGGTAAAATTGACAGAAGGTGGCATAAGTAGTCACCCAATATTAAACGTTTGCAGTTCTAGGGAAGTTATTGCCTATCCAAGCAAATCAATCTTAGCCTATAGCTTAGCATGGAGCTATGCCAGGCCCTATCTCAATTTGATTACAACAGGACCAGGTGTGGCCACAACAGCAGCACCACTTTAAATCAGAGCCAGCAGCTCATATATCCCATATGGTACAAGTCTATTTCCTCATGCCACTTGGCACACTAGCCTTCTGAAATGTTGACATTAGCAGTCTTCCAACAAAAAGGTTGCCAACCCTAGCATAGTTTTTCTTTTCTGTCTAGTTTATTTTTGGTGTGTCCTTGCCTAATATCAGAGGTATGAGCTAAATGGGTTTTTTGTTGTTTCCAAATCTATGAATATACATATTCATATATGCATATATAATTATATATGTGAATGACTGTTGTCTGTGTTTCTATTTTGTGCTATGGAAGGATACACTTTCCTCTCTTATAATAAGTATTTGTTGTTAGAGAGAGAAAGAGAAGTTTATTCAAGAAAGAAAGGAAGGGGTTGAGTGGTAGAGTGATTACCTAGAACGAACCAAGTTCTGGGTTCAATCCCCAGCACTGAGAGAAAAAATTAAAAAAGGATTAAAATGCTTGTAAACAGTATCCCACCTGTTTGAAAAGTAAGCAGTGCTCTTTCCAGGACTGTTGAGCTAGGAAACTCATAAGTCAGTGAGAACAGCAGTGGCACGTCAGGTGAACTGAGGAACTATACTGGAGTACTCTTTTAAAGACCCTTTATCTTTCACTAGGGTTTTGTGATTATGAAAGCCATAGGGCCTTAGTGGACAGGCTCTCAGAGGCGTTTTCCTTGGCATCAGAGCATTCAAAATGCCTTCTCCTTTCTCCAATTTCTGATTCCTACCAGCAGCCCACAGAACTTCAACTACCCTAAATCTGACTCCTCTCTTGGTGTCTGGTCTTTCTACTGCCTGTGAGGCAAATATCTCATGCTTAAAATCATTGCTCTACCTGTTTAAACCTCTTGCAGCTTACAAAGAAAATTTGTAATGGAATCAGGTATTAGAATTAGTACTATCATCACTGTTCTTGGCACTGAAAAAAGTTACAGAACTTTTTAATGGAAGATAAATCCATTAAAAGCTCAACTTTCTTTTCCTGTCTTATGGCAGAGTTGTTCATGAAAGAATTATAATAGGGTAAGTTTTGCAAATCAAAATATAATTACATTCCATAATAGTATACTTCAAGAATTTAGGAAGCAAAGTATATTCAACATAATAAAACTGAATTGAATAGACTACGTAATTCCTCAAAACTCCTCTTGCCCACCAATTTGCATAGGAGGAATATACTTGCTTCTTTATTTGGGGGCGGGGGGGCTTGCTGAGTTTTGAACTCAGGGCCTTACACTTGCAAAGCAGGTGCTCTACCACTTGAGTCACAACTTCAGTACATTTTGCTCTGGCTATTCTGGAGATGGCTCTCTACAGATGATTTGCCCAGACTGACCTCTAATCAGATTCTGCTGATCTCAGCCTCCCAATTAGCTAGGATTACAGCCGTGAGCCACCAGTGACCCGCTCAACACTCTTTGTTTTTTTGTTACACTGGGGTTTGAACTCAGGGCCTCATACTTGCTAGGCAGATGTTCTACCACTTGAGTCACTTGGCCAGCTCTCAACACTTCTTATTTTTGATAGCCTCATGCCAGGTGGAGCGCACATTGCTGCACCCTGACTTTGGGCTTGTCTATTGGTTTAACACAAATCAATAAGTTGTTCACAGATATGAAACAAGTAGCTCAGTATGTACTTATGTGGTTGGACTTGCTCTCTTGCACTTCTGCCATCACCTGAGAAAGACGTAAGTTCAGAAATCTACTGGTTCCCAGAAGAACGAGAAATAAGTAAGGCAGACCTGGATCCACCTTGTCATACGCAGCCTATGCTTTATAAGCTGAAGG